TCTGCTGAGCTTTTCCAGCAAATTTGTTTTTGTTCCTGATTTACAGCATCCGCAGTTCTTTCAGTTTTTATGATTCTGAAAGTATTACATTGACTGTAATACTCATTGGGACATCCTGAGGTCATGGAAAATAACTATATGAATGCATTGTGTTTTCTTTCTGTACTTGCTGGCAAAACATTTGCCTGAATGTCATTTTAATTTAGGGCATCATCAGCAGTTGCTTAAACCATCTGCACTAAAATAACAGAGCACAGAACTTGATGTGAGGGTGTTTCAGATTTGTACAAGGCTATCACTAACCACAGTTCCCACATTGATCTGTCCGTGTGCAATTATAAAAGCCACTGTTACAATCCCTTAGCAACTCATGTGATTCACAAAGAACTTTCAGTTCACCAGCTTAAAAAACAAAGTTGATCCTATGGGACTTAATTAACTTCCCATCCCTTCAACTCTGAGCACAAATCTCATCAGTGGCTTCACTTTTGTACAGTTATGTTGTCCAATTGAACAGTACGGGTGAACTTACTAAAGGGAAAGCAACCTCATTATTGTACAAAACCTATTCCCATCGATAGGGGAAGAAGTAAACTTTGTTCAGAATCCAAGCTATCACTGGCGGATGCCTACGTTTTATTTTTGCAGCAATTATAGAATATCTAAATCAGCAGGAATTCTTGTTTAGCAAGATGGATATCAATATACTGTATTCCCTTAATGTGGTAACACATCCTGAGGTGCTCCATAGCATCATTATCCAGCAACAAATTTGACAGCAAAACATATCAAGAGCTATCAGGACAGATGACTCCATAATGGCTTAGAGATGAAACTATTGAGGGGCATTTTAAAGCAGAAAACAGAGGCTAAGCAGCTGATCTCAGTGGGAATTTCAGGGCCTGGGGTCCAGGCACCTGAAGGTACCACCAGTGAATGGTAGGGCAATGAAAATTTGGGCTGCACAGGGGACCTGGGTGGGAAGAGAGCTGTGGTGCCGGAGGAGATTCCGGAGCTAGGGAGGAACAAGCTCATGGAATGATTTGAAAACAAGGATGAGATTTTCAAAATCGAGAACCAGAAGACGATCTAGAACAGGGACCACGGGATTGGTGGTTGAAAGTGATTTGATTTGAGTTAGGATAAGGACAGGAGAGTTTTGGATGATCTTAAGTTTGTTGAGGGTGGTATAAGGGAGCCTGACCAGGAAGGAGCTTTCTGGAATCTAGTCATGTCTAGTGTAGGGCAGCATGGTGGCACAGTGGTTAGCACTGCTGCCTCACAGCACCAAGGACCTGGGTTTGATTCCAGCCTCGGGTGACTGTCTGTGTGGAGTTTGCATATTCTCCCCGTGTCTGTGTGGGTTTCTCCTGGGTGCTTGTTTTCTCCCACAGTCCACAGATGCGCAGGCTGGGTGAATTAGCCATGAGACATGTAGGGTTCCTGGGAAAGGGTAGGGGGTGCTCTTAGGATGCTCTTTGGAGGGTCAGTGTGGACTCAATGGGCTGAATAGCCTGCTTCCACACTGTAAGGAATCTATGATTCTAGAGGTAACACAGATTTAAACGAGGCTTACAGCAGCAGCGGGAGGTGGTGATGAGTGACTAAGGAAGGTGGAAATAGATGGTCATGGTGATGGGTCTGGTGACATGCTGTATATACACCTTTAAAAGGTTGTGTCTTAAACTATTGTCCATCAACATCTACATTGACAGGATGTAATGTATCAGTACCATGTCTTGAGAGCTATCTGAAGCAGCAGTGACAGGGATCAGATGTACCGTACATAATCTCCCTGTGAATATTATCTGTATTTATCTTACCTTCAAATTGCTATTTCTCCAGTCCTTGTGTTTGATGGGTGTTTTTACACCCAAAAAAAGAAATTAACAATGGAAAAATTCAGCTCAGGGTCCAAAACCTGAATTTAACTCTTTGTGGGAATTGGCCAGGTTGACTAGCAAAGCCTCCTGACCTCGGCAGGAATTACTCCTCATTGCCTGGGTCCTCAAAATATTCCCAACCAGAAGGTAGTGGCAGCCATTTGGCTGGTGGAAAGGGAGTGTTATTGGCAGGAACTCAGCATTGACAGAGACTGAAGAATGGAATCTTTGGGTAAAATTGTGGTGAGGGGCTCCCATTTGGAAAGGTGAAGGGTCCAGGAATTATGAGAGCCTAAACTTTCCTAGTGAGGCCTGAGGATGACTCCTGCTGTCCCAGACCCTACAAGATAAGGAATTAATTTTTAAAAATGTGAAAGTATACCCATTTCTCCTGTGAACCTCATTTTGATGGCCTGTGGTTGAGTTACGAGTAAAGGCCTGAGAAAAAAAAGCCTGACAATGCCAATGAGGCCTGGTCTGTAGGATCCTGCTGATTTAGCCTGTTTGGTTTGTTGCCTGGACGCTAAGTTAAAAGTGAACTCTGCGGAAAGGGTAGGGGGTGATAAGTAACTCCCTGGTGATTTTAACATCTCTCCCATCTGCTTGCTATCAGAAGGAAAGGCTTAAAATAACCCCCTAACTGTGAGAATTGGAATGATATACCACAATGTTTCATACAGTGCTTTGGAGACATCCCTGAATAGTCAAAGCTGGATAGAGTTGTTATGTTATATTAAACTTAGTGGTCAGTCATTCTTCATGTGAGGTTGGGTTTTATTAAATTATTAAAACAACTTCAGTTCTAGATATATTGCTTGCTTAATGAGCTAGATGGGAAATAAAACTCATAATGGCTATCCTGGTATGTGCACAATTCTAAGTGATAGCTGCCCAGAAATGTACCAGTAATTACACCCTGGCGTATGCCAAGCATTCTGATCTCAATCTGGTTGCCAAGTCTGGTTGGACATATTCCTGGAGAGTTTACCGAATCATCTTCCAACCCAAATGAGTCCTCCTCCCCATCAATGAATCAATTAAAGGGTCTGCCGTAAATGGAAAAATAATATAATTTTTAATTTATTCTCTGCTTTTATTATTGTCTTTTTTTTTTAAAGAATATAATGTCTGTTTCTAGATTTGCTTGCAGCAGCTCCTGAGAAAATTATTTTTTGATTTGTGGAGAGTCCAAGACCATCCTGGAGGGTTGGCAGCTCTTTTTCCTAAACTGGGCATACTTCCCTCAGCTCCTGAGGGGATTTGACTGTGTAGTCATTGGAACCATGGCCAGGTGGATCTCATTGACTTTGAGATTCTTCTTTGGGGTTGTTAACCTGGGCTAATCAGGGAGCCCTGGCTGACAGATGTAAATAAGAGATTCAGAAGGTCTCCTCAGTCTCGGGGCTGGTTTTGAGCTGGCTGGTCAGAGCCTACTTGCTATGCACATGTAAATAAAAGGTGACTTGGTGATAGGATACCGGCATCTGTGCAGTTATTTTAGATTGGGTAGATGTTGAAAGGGTGTTCCTTCTTGTGGGTGAATCTAGAACTTCGGGTCATAGTTTAAAAATAAGGGAGCTCCCATTTAAGACAGAGTTGAGGATAGTTTTTCTCTCAGAAGGATGTGAATCTTTAGAATTCCCTTCCTCAAAAGGCTGTGGATGCAAAATCTTTCGTTATTTTTAAGGCTGAGGGAGATAGATTCTTGATGACCGTGGGGATGAATGATTATTGGGGATATACCGGAATATAGGGCTAAGGTGAAAGTCAGATCAGCCATGATCTTATTAAAAAGTGAAATAGGTTCAAAGGGCTGAGTGGCCTACTCTTGTTTCTTGTTCATTTGTTCATAGTGTCGTTGTTGTCAATAGAGGTCTGTCATCTCAGTGTCTGTCATCTGGAGAACCACGGTTAACAGCTTTCTAATCTTTATGTCTCACTTTCACACTGACACTGGCTCCTTACCCAGAAAGTGGTTGTAGCCAACATATTGAATAGGTGTTCGATGTGGTTCATACAGCTAAAGGGATCAAAGGACATGGGGAGAAAGCAGGAACAGGGGACTGAGTTGAATGATCATCTGTGATCATGCTGAATGGTGGAGCAAGCTTGAAGGGCCGAATGGTCCACTTCAGCTCCTGTTTTCTGTGTATCCATGTCAACATTTCAAGGGTTGTGAAATTGGAATCTCCTCTCCTTAAATACTTACAGCGCGTTCAGGTTGGTTCGCATAGTTGCCACTGAACCCAACATACACCTTGAAGAAATTTGTAAAACCCATTTGATTGGATCCACACTTCATGTGGTGTTGAACTGAAGGCTGTGAGATCACTCCTCTAGTGATTCCAGCTCCAGCTCAGTCTGGAGTTAGCCAAGGTCTGAATTCCAGATAGGGGAGTTGGCATCACACCAATCATGAGTAAGCTTGCAGAATGAATGAACAAGTCTCAACTAGGACAAAGCCATTGTGATGAAGGTGGAGGTGAGTCACATTCTTAAATTGTTGCAGTTGTACTGACAGTTGTTTTACAATGCTGTGAAGTAAGGGACCTCCAAATTCTAGGCCCACTGACAAGAATGCTTGATATAATTCTATTGTAAAAACTCACCAAGGCTCCCTTGACAGCACTTTTGAAACCCACTGCATTCTACCATCTAAAAGGACAAGAGCAGCAGATAGATGGGAACACTTTCACCTGCACGTTCCCCTCCAAGCCACTCACCATCCTGTCTTGGAAATATATTGGTGTTCCTTCAAAGTTGCTGGTTGAAAATCCTGGAACTCCCTTCCCGACAGCACTGTGGGTATACATATACCTCATGAACTGTGGGGGTTCAAGAAGGCAGCTCATCTCCAAGGGTAAATAATGCCAGCCTAGTTCTCATGCCATCAACAAGTAATAAAAAAAAACATGATTTAGCTGGGTTAGTGTATGATTTGGAGGCGAACACGGAGTCAATGGTATTCCCATGCAGTTGATTCTCCTGTGGTAGAGATTGTGGATTGGGAGATTCTGTTGGTGAAAGTACCCAATTTTTATGGAATTTACATTTTGAAGTTTGATTCTTGTGTGGGTCAGTTTCAAGCTAACATTGGTTCATGTTTCTGACCTACAGGACAACCAAGAAGAGAAAATTCCACAGCCCACCTCACCAATGAGAAGGATCAGGAGCAAGTCATCACACCACTCACTGGGAATGAACAGGATGGTACAAAGTTCAAAAGGGCTAATGAGAAGCTTTGGCTGCCAGAGAGACAAAGTCACAAAACTGAGAAATCATCTTCGACAGAAGCAACTGAAATAACCACCATCAGAAATGAAGAGAACCTTTCTTCACCCCAAGAGAGAGAAAATTCCAGAAACATCTCCACAGTGAGAGATAATTCAAGCACCAACACTATAGGTAGAACTTACTTAGAACTGGTCACTGAAGCATCTGGTGATGTTGCTCCCAAAGATGATAGAGAATATCTTTCAGCAGTGACTAAGCACACAGAACTTATTAGGAAATTGGGGGACTACGGTCAACACCAGGAAGGAAATAATTCTCAATCTTCAAACATTAGCAATGAGGCATGGAAAGAGCAGGCTCCACAATCCAAACTTGTTTCATTGCTGTTTCCAAATGTCAGCAAGAACACAATTCCTCCTGGCGAGAACAGAACTACAGACGTACATGAGGGAGAGAAGACGATGGCTGTGGTAAATGTTACACATGGGATGAGGGACATACAGCCTCACAGTGTCACAGGTCACCCTGGTAGAGAATTCTCTGAGCATACCTCCGTTCCAGTGAGGCCCTCGACAGGGTATACAAGCCTCATTCAAGTGGGATCTAGCACCTTGGCAGCTCGTGACCTGGGAGGAAGTGGTGATGGAGAAACAAGTTTCCTAAACCAGCACCAGATCGGTTTGGATGCTGCCAAAAGTCATTCAGGACTTGTATCTGGACGTGAGATCGATACAGACGAAAGAGGGTCTTTGGCAGACAGTGTGCCAGAACATCTCAAAGAGTCTGAGGAGGAGCTCCAAGAGACGACATTGGCTTTTGAGGGGCACTTTAAAGATTTTACACAGCCCACTCTGCATTCCACAGCACTCACTGATACCTCAACGTCAAAAGGCAGCGAAGAACATCTGACAGAAGAAACAGGGCAGACATATTCAATAACGCCAGGGAGAGACAAAGAATCCCTAAATGGGTTGGATGGAAGTCAGCCCCTTGGCAAACAAAATCCAAGCACTGTTCAGCCTTCTGTAGTGAATACAACAGATGAAAATGAAACAAACAGTCAACCACCTACAAAGAAACTGATAGCTTCAGATGAGATTCAGCAAACAATGAATAAACTGTCTGAAATAGAAAGAGAAGATATTATAACAGTGACGGGTGCCTCAGAAATTGGATTATTGTTACATGGAGAGAAGCCGCAGAATAAAATTGAAAAATCTCCCAAGGCCCACAGAGACCAGTCAAAAGCAGTAACATTAGCTTCAGGCAGTTCAATGTTTGCTAATACATCTATTGAGTTAGGACAGGGACCATTACACTCAACAACGTCAAATGTTGTCAGGAATACGGAGATTGCGTTGACAAGTGTAACAGGAACAGTTGACAGAAAAGAAGGCACTGGAGTATCTGGCCTCAGTCCAACAGCCAAGTCAGCTATGCACGTTGTCAAGGAAACTGAGGAAGCAATGCTTGCAGTTACAGTCACGTCCATTACTCAAGATTCACATGCAGAATTGGAGCTTCCAAGAACATTTGCCCTCACAGCAGAACAGTCAACGGTGGCCACTGTCTTAGGCACAACTGGTCTAGGAGAGGAAGAATTACAGAGATTGGAAAGGCTAGAGAGAGCTGGTGAAGACACTGCTTCCACGGAAAGTCCTGTACTGTTCACTTCTGTTCCGTTTTCTACTCCACTGCACAACCTGAGCTTGTCTCATCATGAACCTGCAAAAGAAGTATACAATAACATGGAGCACACGATTCCGTCTGTGCCTCACGATGCAGAAACTCTATCCTTGGAAACACGGATGTCTTCTTCATATGAAGAAGCTGATGGCTCGGGGGCAGCAGAGCAGAAGTTAGTCACCACTGACCAAATGATTGAGGATCTGACCGAGTCTGCCTTGGAGCAAAAGAAGGACCGTTCAGCAGTAACTCCATCCATCATTAGCATCAATGACTTGTATGAAGGACTGGTCTTTCCAATAACAGGTGAGAGCAAATGTACTTATTCATTATTGACCGTTGCTAGCAACAGATGTAAATACTGGGCCAAAGATCAGGCTCTGGCTAAAATATTGTATCCACTTCTGGACAACCTCTGTGGAAATAGAAGGGGTCACAGAAAGGGTTTGGCCTGTTATGATTTCATTCAGTAAGATTGGATGGAAAGGACTTTCTCTGTTGGAATTCTGTATCATTAAGATGAGGTTTGTTCTTCCTGAATTGTGGAAGGTACTGGCATGCACAGCCCTGCAAGTGTGGTGGAGGCTTTCGAGAAGGGCATTGATGACTCTTTGGATAGAAATGGCGTGCAGGGATATGGGGAAAAGACAGGAGATTGGCACTAGGGGGTATAATCAGTGCAGGCACAATGGGCTGAATGGCCTCGTTCTGCACTGTAACAATTCAGTGATTCTTTACAATGGGGATGGTTTGGAAAAGGAGTCGAACCCGATACAATTCAATATGTTGTTTTAGTTCAGTTGCAATATCACATTCAATTCTAATCACAACACATTAGAGAAGTCTAAAAAAATTGAAAGAACTGCAGATGCTGTAAATCAGAAACAGAAGCAGAAATTGCTGGAAAGGCTCAACAGGTCTGGCAGCATCTGTAGAGAGAAATCTGAATTAATGCTTTGGGTCAAGTGACCCTCAGAACTCTTTTTCTTCTGGCTTTAGGGAGGATGTTGAGGCTATGGAGAGAGTATAGAAGAGAATTACCTAGAGCTCTTGTGATACTGTAGTTGTGAGCCTTTCTGGGTCAGAAGGTCTGGATTCAAGTCTGGAGATGTTTAATGACATGCCCAAACAGGTTGATTCGAAAATGTCGAAGAGAATTACTAGATTAGCAGAAGGTTCCTCCAATTACCTTAATGCTGTGACGTTGGGCTAATGATGCCACTGCTATAGTATTTCCTGATTTACTCATAGGACAGATTAGGAGAGCAGGCAAAGAAGTGGCAGATGGAACAGAATGTGGGAAAGTGTGAAGTTATGCACTTTGGTAGGAAGAATAGGAGTGTAAACTACTTTCTAAATGTATCTGAAATCTGAAATTCAGAAATCTGAAGCACAAAGGGACTTGTTAGTCCTAGTTCAGGATTGTCCCAAGGTTAACATGCAAATTCAGTTGGCAATGAAGAAGGCAAGTGCAATGTTAGCATTCCTTTTGAAAGGGCTAGAATAAAAGAGCAAAGATGTGTTATTGAGGCTGTATAAGGCTCTGGTCAGAGCACATTTGGAATGTTGTGAGCAGTTTGGAGTCCCTTATCAAAGAAAGGATGTGCTGACATCCAGAGGAGGTCTACAAGAATGATCTCGGGGATGAACAGTTTGTCATGTGAGAAGTGGTTGAGTACTCTGGGTCTGTGCTTGATGGAGTTTAGAAAGATGAGGGGGGATCTGATTGAAATGTACAGAACAATGAGAGGCCTGGATAGAATGGATGTGGAGAAAATGTTTCTACTAGCGGGAGAGTCTAAGACCTGAGGGCACAGCCTCAGAGTGAAGGGATGATCCTTTAGAACTGAGCCGAGGAGGAATTTCTTCAGCCAGAGGGCGGTGAATCTGTGGAACTCATTGCCGCAGAAGGCTGTACGGGCAAGTCATTGAGAGTATTTAAGACAGAGATGGGTTCTTGATTAGTAAGGGGATCAAGAGTTACAGGAAGAAGGCAGGAGATGGGGTTTGGGAAATGCATCAGCCACAATCAAATGGCAGAACATATTAAATGGGGGCCAAAAGGCCGAATACTGCTCTTATACCATATGGTCTTATTTGGTTTCATGGCCTATGAGAACCCATTGAGATTTGAAAACAGTAATGGTATTGCCCCTTATGGTTCCCTCATTAAGTCCTTAAGAAATTGGAACAGGACTAGGCCATTCTGGCCCCTTGGACATGTTTCAATAGGATCATGGCTAATCTGACATTCCTCACGCTCACTTTCCTGCCCTTTCGCCATAACCCTTGATTCCCTGACTGATCAAAAATCTATCTGTCTCAGCCTTAAATATACATAAGGACTCTGCCCCCACAGCTCTCTGAGCTCCAAAGACTCCCAACCCTATGAGAGAAGAATTTTCTCCTCTGCTCAGTTTTAAATTGCCATCCCTTTATTGTGAGACTAACTTTCTGGTCCCGGACTGTATCATGAGGGGAAACATCCTCTCAACATTTACCCTGTCAAACCCCTTAAAAATCCTAGATGTTTCAATGAGATCACCTCTCATTCTTCTAAACTCCAGTGAGTAGAGTCCCAACCTGTTCAGCCTTTGCTCATATGACAATCCCTCCATACCGGGGATTATCCTAGTGAACCCCCTCATTGGTTATACGCCACTGACAGTACACAGAATGGTGCTGTCCTCTCGGAAACTCTCAAATCTTGGTCCGTAACTGTAGTCCCAAATCGCTGACAATTATCCCAAGATGAACTCTGGCATTATTTAAATTCATTAATCCATATCGCAATGGAAGAGGCCGTTCAGTCCATCATAACTGTGACATTTGAATTTAATACAAACGAGGGGTCAACACATTGGTTAGCACTGCTGCCTCACAGCGCCAGGGACCTGGGTTCAATTTCAGCCTCAGGCTACTGTCTGTGTGGTGTCTGCACATCACACCTCCAGGTGCTCCGGTTTCCTTCTGCCATCCAAAGATGTACAGGTTAGATGGATTAGTCATGGGAAATGCAGGCTTAGAGTGATGGGATGGGTCTGGGTGGTATGTTCTTTGAAGAGTTAGTGTGGACTCGATGGGCCAAATGGACTGCTTCCACACTGTAAGGATTCTAGAATTAAATGAATATACTCTAATCGTGACCCTGTGGTGATTCCTGTAAAGAAAACCTATCCAGTACATGAATATCCCTTTAGGGAAGGAAATCTGCTGTTCTTACTCGGTCTAGTCTACATGTGACTCCAGAACCACAGCAACGGGGCTGACTTTTACCTTGGCCCTGAAAAGACCCAGTAATCCATTCAGTTATGGGCAAATGGACAAAAAATACTGGCCTTGCAAGTAATGTCCAAATCCCATATGAGAATAGAGAAAAAGAAAACACAACATGGGTGTGTCCTTGTTATAAATGGATTTGATATTTATGGATTTGTGTATGTGTGAGATTGGCCATGGATGTGATTTTTCTCTCCCCATTCTCCCTACAGAGTGCACGGTACTTTTGGGCTGGTTAGGATAGCCAGGGGATTTCCAGTCCATCACTATCCGCGGTTTCATGTTATCCGTGGGATATCCAAACTTCATTCCTCACGGATAATGGGATTAGAGTATAAAAATGGGGAAGTGTTGCTGCAACTGTACAATGCGTTAGTGATACTGCACCTCGATTATTGCAATAGTTTTGGTCTTGAGGAGGGACATAATTGTATTGGAGGCAGCTCAGAGAAGATTTACTTGTTTGATTCCACAGATGAGGGGATTGTCTCATGAAGAGAGATTGAGCAGTTTAAGCTGATACTGTCTGGAGTTTAAAAGACTGAGGGGAGATGTAATTGAGGTATATAAGATACTAAAGGAGTTGGCAAAGTAGATGTAGGGAGGATGTTTCCCATTGTGGGCAATCTAGAACAAAAGGTCATAGTTTTAGGTCGAATTCACTACCCCAAAGTGTGGCGAATATCGGGACATTGAGTAAATTTACGGAAGAGCTGGACAGATTTTTAATTAGTAATTGGTTTAAGGGTTATGGAGAATGGACAGGATGTAGAGTACAGGTTGAGATGAGGTCAGCCATAATTGTATCAAAAGGCAGGGTAGACTCAAGGGGCCAGATTGGCACCTCCTGCTCCCAGTTTTTGTGTTCTAATTAGATATACACATTTAATATTAGTGGATATTAGTGCTATAGTAATTCTCAGCAAAGCTTAACCTCTCAGAATTTAACCTTCTCTGATAACCCTTCAAGATCTCATTGAATCATAGAATCCCTACAGTGTGGAAACAGGCCCTTCAGCCCAACAGGTCCACACCGACCCTCAGAGCATCCCACCCAGACCCATCCCCCTACCCTTGCATTTCCCACGTCTAACCCACCTAATCTACTCTATGGGCAATTTAGCACAGCCAATCCACCTAGTCTGAACATCTTTGGACTGTGGGAGGAAACTGGAGCACCCGATGGAAACCCGTGCAGACACGGGGGAGAGAATGTGCAAACTCCACACAGACAGTCGCCCGAGGCAGGAATCGAACCCGGGTCCCTGGCACTGTGAGGCAGCAGTGCTAACCACTGAGCCACCATGCCACCCTCTGCACCAATTCTGGCCTCTTACAGATTCTGGATTTTCACTGCTCCACTTCTGATGGCTGTGCCTTCAGCTGCTTGAACTCTCGCTCTGAAAACCCTCCTCTGCCCCCTTTCCTCCTTTAGACCCTCCTGAAGACCTGTGTCTATGACCAACCTTCCAGTTGCCTGTCCTAATATCTCTTCAGGCTGAATTCTTCCAGCGTTCTCTGTGTTTGTTTCTAATATCTCTTCACAAGTCTCAGTATTTCAGCTCGATAACACCCTTGTGAAGCATCTTGGGATGTCCTACGACAGCAAAAGTGCTATGTAAGTCCTTTAGGGAAGGAAACTGGTCTGGCCTACGTGTGACTTCAGACCCACAGCAATGTGGTTGACTCTCAACTGCCCTCTGGGCAATTAGGGATGGGCAACAAATGCTGGCCCAGCCAATGACACCCTCATCCCGTGAACGAATTAAAAAAAAGGCAGGCAGTTGTAGGTCTATGTCTTCAGCCTTTGCCAAGATTACTTGATTTAAAAAAAAAGCCTCAAATGCCTTCAACAAATTAATGTGCCAGAAATCGACTGCCATGCAATTCAAACAAGACACTGTGATTAATAGTGGTGAACCCTTACCAAGGTCAGTCAAAGAGAAATTCTCTGGGCAATCTTTCTAAGGGACTTTCATCCCTGAGTTTAGCCCGTCTGTCTATCAATGCAGGCCAGGATATTTAAT